GAGGGTTTCTCAGCTTGATCTTTCTTGCATATTGTGTTTGCCTTTGGTAAAAACGTGTTCATTTTTATTGCATAATCTATCATTCTGGTTCAGTTATAAACATCTGATATTTTCCCTTACTTTACAGAGATACTTTACAGAGCATACATTTTAAACCTTTAATGATCACAGCATCCTTGAGCTATGGACGAAGTTCAGTGGCAGCTGTTAGGGGACCTGGGCCCTAATCTTAGTGTTACAAACATGCACCGGAAAAGCAGCCTGAGCCATGGCTTTCATATCATAAAATGGATTTGGTAATACTTGCCTTACTGCGTTCTTGGCCAAATCATGCAAAATACTGTCTGTAAATGTCTTTTAAGTTTGCAGTTACTACAAAATGCAAAATATAATTATGATTTAGAGGAGATATCAGGGTTATGGAAAGAAAATAACTCCAAAAATACATAATAATAAATATAATTCAGAGTAGAACTAAGTTCTATTAACATACTAATGTGTCATGATGTTACTTATACATATTTTTTTTCCCCTCCAGAATCTCTTCATTCTGAGCTCTGAAACCAATGCAGCTTAGCTGTGGGAGAAGGATTGGAAACTAACACTGAACACGCCTGTCTAATCTATCAGGCTCTGAGGCTTCACACGTATCTTTTTCATTTAAACTTTCCAACAACACTTTGAGGAAGGTGTTATTTACATTTTTGCAAATAAGGAAACCAAGCCTCAGAAAAGGTAAGTGGCAGTCTACATTTGCACCCAGGTCTGTTTGGCACCAAAGTTTCCCTTACCCCATGTGGCTAAAACATTCCCCCTTCATCTTCATAATTTTTATAAACAAGAAACACTTCAATTAACCTCCAGTTGTTTTTTTTCACCCCACAATTCCATAATTTCCCATCTCTGCTCCCCAGGTCTGCCCACTCTGCACCCAAATGTAAACTAAAACCAAAAGAGAATTTAAATGTGTGTAGATAAATTGAGTATGTTATCTGCAGATAGCAATATTTAAAGGAAAATCACAGGCAGTCTTGAAACCGCTTGCAAAGCATTCAGTGAGCCCTGCCCTGCTGTGAGTATCACCCAATGTTACTGTCGAGTCACCATGTCACAGCCTGGGAAGCGCACGGAAGCAAGAAGAATGAAAGTTTCCTATGTTATTGTCCCGTTAGTTGGGCCAACCCCTTACTTAAACAAAATCCCTTGCCTTTTAAAAAGTCTTTTGGCTAGACAGTAAAGAAAAGTATCTTTGAATCTTCTACACTGACAAATTACATCAGCTAATATTTGAGTTGACTGTCTGAAAAATACTGGTCTTATATAAATATGCTTAAATGCCATGTATATACACTGTACAATGTCAATTTTTTAAAAAGCAGAATACAAAGACAACTATGATTCCAAATGAAAATATAAACATACAGGTAGAAAATGAGTAAGAGAAAATTAACATAAGTACCTTCGGGTAGTGGAATTACAGATGATTCTTATCATCTTTTTTTTATAAGCATGAATGGCATTTATAATGGAAAGAAGTCTCCTTAATATAAAGAACACAGACATTTTTGATGCCACAACAAGAACCTAAGAAGCTGAAAATGATAGCTGTGTACTTATTTCTCAGTAAGTGTGTTTCTTGTGGAGTAACTTAAGGACAGTGTCCTTCAGCAATAATGTTTAGAAAATGTAAAATCAAAGTATGAAAGGACAGCTTACTCAGGCATTTGTACCCAAGCCGGTGGAATTATTCCTCAGGTTTCATTTTCAAAGCCCACAGCTCTTTCTCCATCTTTTTTGGATGGCTCAGAGTAACAATTTACATTATATTTGTTATACAGTCTGCTCTGTATCTGTTATACAGATACAGAATCCAAGGATGCAGAGGGCGACTATACTCCATTTTACATAGGGGACTTGAGCATCCGTGGATTTTGGTAACCCCTGGGGGTCCTGGAACTAATCCCCTCAGATACGAGGGATGATTAGATTATCTAGAGAAGTACACAAAATACATTACTGAGATAGATTGCCTTTGGTTTTATAATACAGAATCAAACTTCCTGGATGTCTTTGGAGAAAAAAAAAAAATCCCCAAACGGTAAAACCTTAAAATCCCTCAAACCACAAAGTAAAATCTCCAAAGATGGAGAAATGTACTGGAAGAAGGTGGAGTGAGAGAGCTCAGTGGAGTCAAGTTGTCTATGGCGGAAAGAAGGCACATTCCCTTTAGGCAGAATGATGGAGATAAAAAAAATAGCCCAGTAATACTCCATTAAGTTACTAAGTAAACTTGATATTTCCTCAAGTTCCTTCAGCACTGATGCAGCACGCCTTTATCCTTGTCTGCAAAAGCCCAGCTAAAGGGATGCCCAGCTCTCCTTTCCTCTCTTCTCAATGGACTATCCGGACATTTCGTTCTTTGGACATCTGCAAATTCATTTGCTTCAAGTTGCTTTTTTCCTGTACTAAAGGTTCTAGAGAAGTGATAGAAGGTTCTAGAGAAGTGATAGACAGCTACTAAGGGGTCAGACTTTGGTCATGTTGGAGACAGCAGAGGGAGGAAGTGGAGTGAGAAAACTAGACCCAGTCTGAATAAAGAGGAAGGGCAAGGGGACAGCTGGGAGACATCCCTGAGGATGGGGCCCTGTGGTTGAGTGTGTAGTCCCAGCCTGGGTAAGTCGACAATGCCAGGGGCAGGGAGAGGATGAAGCAAGGTTTTCCCTGCCTGAGGGCTTAAGGGTATATAGTTCATCCAATTTTAAAAATAATGTCATTTTTCCATGTTCAATTTTTTTAATCAAATTTATTTAAATAACCTTGTTGTCCCTTCCATTTATGTTAAATTGTTTGAGTGAAGAGCATCCCATCTGTCTCATCCTCCCAATGTTTAATATTACCCTTTTCCTATTTTCTGTATTCATTTCCTCTAAGTAATAAAACATCATAAATGACTTCTACTCAGGCTTCTAGGACCTTTAGGACTTTTCCCAGATTGTATAAAGTAGACAGCACCGAGGTGGACCAACTATTGTAATGACGAGTCAAGATATGGATGACTGTTCACAATTTGAAAAGTAAGAAAGTGCAGTAAAATTTTAAGAGATACCTATGGTGGGTATAATGGCAGAGTCAGAATGACTCAGGAATGAAATTCAAAATGTTGAAACAACTAGATGAAGGTAAAAATAAAGCTATGCGGTGACCAGCTGGGAATGGTGTTTGAGGGAGCTCCAAGGAGGAGAGAGAGTGCCAGGAGAGGTAAATGGGAGCGGGGCACATTCACAGTGACTGAAATAAATCAGCAGAACCATCTGAAGTTCTCAGGTACCTTCTACACAGTCCCCTCCCTGTGCCCATATTGAAATGTGGTTGCCACATTGTGATGTGACAGTAGACCAAGTTGCTCCAGTAAGCAACACCAGCTACTGGACATGGTTTTCTCCGAGCACCTGCCTCTGTCTTGAAGCCAGCTGGAATGTAAATGATTGTGGGATTGAACGACTTTCTGTGTTATGTGTCTGCCCATCCTTGATATCATCCTGTGAACATAAAACTCAGATTTCTGATCTTGGCGTTCAAGGCTGTCCACAATCTAGCCCAGTACTGCCATCTTCTCTATTTTTTCTGGAATCCACATACTCCATCCAATCTGGTTTTTCTCCATCATTGTGAATTATCGATTCTGCATTATATTTCATACGTTAATCCCCCTTCTCCACTTCTCCACACACAAAAATTGAAAGTAAAATCTTGGGAAAATATATACATAAACACTAACCAAAAGAAAACTGATATCAGAAGAAGGCAAAAAATAATGCTAGAGATAAAGAGTGACATTTTCTACTGAAAAAACAGTCCATCTACCAAGATTATATAACAGTTCTGAATCTGTGTGCATCCAATAATATAGCCTCAAAAATATATAAAGCAAGGGCTTCCCTGGTGGCGCAGTAGTTAAGAATCCGCCTGTCAATGCAGGGGACACGGGTTTGAGCCCTGGCCCGGGCAGATCCCACATGCTACGGAGCAACTAAGCCCATGCACCACAACTACGGAAGCTCGCACACCATGCTCTGCAATAAGAGAAGCCACCGCAATGAGAAGCCCGCGCACCGCAATGAAGACCTAACGCAGCCAAAAATAAAAAATAAATAAAATAAATTTATTAAAAAAATATATATATAAAGCAAAAAATGAGATAACTGAAGTAAGAATTAGACAAATCCATGATCATAGGGAAGATTTTAACTTTCCTTTTTCAATACCTAATAGAAGAAGCAGATGAAAGTCAATAGGAATATGAAATAATTGAGTAACAAAAATAAACAGTTACTAATTTATTATCATCTACAGAATACTATACCTAACAATGGAGGAACACATGTTATTTTCAAATGCACATGGAATATTTCCAAAGTTGGCCATATGCTGGGCCATAAAGCAAATCTCAAAACAAATTTCAGTAGATTAAAATCATAACAACTGTATTGTCCGACCACAGTGAAATTAAGCTAAAAATCGACAAAAAATATAACTAGAAAATCTTCAACTGTTGTAAAACTGATCAATACATTTATATATAACTCATGGATAAAGGAAAAAAATCTAAACAGAAATGGGAAGTATTTTGAACTGGATGATAAGGAAAATAAATCATATCAAAACTTGTGAGATGCAGATAAAATTAGAGGAAATTAGAGGAAATTAGAGGAAAATTAATAATCTTAAATGCATATATTAGACAAGAAGAAAAGTTGAACACCAGTGATTTAAGTGTCCACAATTATCTTGGGATAAAAAGCAAACAGCAACAAACAAGTAAAAACAAAAAGAGAAGAAAGGAAATAATAAAGATAAGAGCAGAAATTAATGAAATTGCAAAGAAATGCACACTAGAGACTCTTAATAAAGTCAAATATTCTCAAAAGAAAAAGAAAGAAAATTTAAAAATCCCTAATAAGACTGATTAAGATAAGAAGAAAAGGCACAAATCACTGATACTGGGTTTTAAAAATACCCCTATTTTTAATAGGGGTATTGCCTCAGATCCTACAAACATCACATAAAAGTAATTTGAGGATATTGCCTTAACTGATTCCCTATGTAGAATTTGCTACTGTGAAGAGATAATGCTTATTATATCAAGCAAATATTCAAGTCAATTGTGGCAGTTATGTTTTGGGAGGTAAAGTTAAAAATTGGCCTTTATGTTGCTAAACTGAATATTTTTTGTTTTTTTTGTTTTTTTTAGTTTAGTTAGAGTGACTCAGCTCTACAGTGTTTGAAAAACCCTGTGTAAACTGACCAAACTGCGTCTTTGTATATGCAAAACAGAAGACTAGACTTTGGCCCCACAGTTATCCAAGACAATGGGCAGGGCTGCTGTAGTCCCAGTTGGATCCTTTCTGTGGAATAGCTAATTTGTAAATTTCCTCCATTGTACATGCAGGTAAGATCACGTTTTATGTATATTTATAGCCTGTATCTAGTAGAATGAGTAACATTTTGCCCAGTGGAGACAACATATGTGCAAAAGCATAGGGGCAGGAAATGGCATAGTATATGCGGGGAAGAGCAATGTTTCTGCTGCAGAGTAGGGTATTTGAAGGAGTGCTGAGGGAGAAGCTGGCTGGACAGATAGGCTTGGTTTCATTTGTGAAAGGTCTTGGAACACACATCTTCCTGTATCTGCTTTATCAAAAATTTCCAAACATGGGTGTGATATAGGCAAACTTGTATTTCAGAAGGCACACAAGTTCATTCTTAGAACTTCTCAATCAAGTGAATATGTCTTGTTTCCTTTCTTAGGTTATATGTAACAGCCATATGGAGCCCTCAGAATACTTTCAATCGATTAACTGGTTGATAGACTCTTTCTTTTATCAGTAAACAAGCCAACTTGTTTTATACAAAGTGCTGTGGAAGACCCAGGTATTAGTTTTCTTCCTGCAGGAGTTTACAATATAGTAATGAAATAACACTTATGCACGTAACACAGGAAGAAAATGGACCAGGAGTAAAAGGACTTGAATTCTGGATACATCTCCTCCATTTTAGTTGTTTATAAAAACAAATATTTAATAAGCACCTATTATGTGTCAGATATCTGTTAGACTTTAGGTATGCACTGATGAGCAAAATAGTCATGGGCTTTGTGTGTCCAATGGAGGATAATGACATCAGACAATCACAAAAATTTATTCAACAAATAATGTATTGAGAATCTAATATGTGCCAGGCACTGTTCTAGGTGCCTGAAGCAATAATGAAAAAGCAGACAGATCTGTGCCCATACAGAATTTACATTCTAGTGGGAGAAGACAGAAAACAAACTCTAGATGTACAATAAATAAGGAATGTATATATCTTATTAGAAGGGGATATGTATTATGGTAAAAGAAATAGAAAGTCAGGTAAGGGATTTTAGTAATGAGGAGGGGAACAGATAGGAGTTGGGATGGGTTGTCATTTTACACAGGACAGTTAGAGTGGTCTCATTGAGAAGGGATGTATAAGCAAAAACTTAGAATTTTGGAGAGTTGACTCTGCATATATCCAAGGGAAATGTATTCCCGGCAGAGGGAACAGCCAATGTAAAGATCCTAATATGGGAGCATTTTGGAGGGTTCCAGGCACAGCAACGAGGCCATATCCTCTGAAGCAGGGTAAGCAAGGGGGAGAAAAGCAGATGTAGGAGAGTTTGTGTAGATTTTGTAGGGTCTTGAGGGTCACTGTATGGACTTTGGCTTTTCCTGAAAGAAATGGAGAGCCATTATAGGAGTCTGAGTAGGGAGAGAGATGATCTGATTTATGCTTTAATGGGATGACCGGTTCCATGTTACAACCTGTAACTAAATCATGATAGGTGTGTCCTGAAATGGGATAACAGGGGGACCAAATTTATAAAATACATGTGTATTGGGCCCTAAGCTTAGCTAGCCCCCTCAGACTCACTGGGTCATCTTGGTGTGGACCTGGTAGCATGCGGTATATATGAGCTCACGTAGAATACTGTTCCTTGGAAGTGATGCAGAATGACACATAATCTTGTTGCAGAATGGCACATAATCTAGAAGTGTTCTAGCAGTGAAAGCACATATTCTCAAAAGGAGCGATATCACCCCCAAAGGGGTGAAAATTGGTTCTTAAGGGACAAAAACTTACTCTTTTTGATGTATGAAGCACAGATGTACATACAGTATGTAACAGATATGTAATACATTGGCAGTATTTTAATTTCATGGAAAAGATACCTAAAAAGGATCCTTTAGGGATGGGGTGGGAGTGGAAGGTTGTATGATCATAAAAAAGGTTGGAAAACAGCGACTTAAGAAGGGAGTGAGTGGCAGGAAGATCACTGAACTGGAGGTTAGGAAATCACAGCCAAAATCAGCTCCATCATTAACTCTGTGAACTTGGACCACTTGCTTCTCCTTTCGAGGTTCCAGCCTGCCTTCAAATGTAAAATCAGGTAGATTGTATGACCTTTTAGCTTTTCTCCAGTGCTAAAATTATGAGAAGGACTTGAGCTGGCTCTCCACTGAGTTATAAACACCAGATTATGGGAACTATGGTAATCTATCAGGTATTTGGACCCATCAAACCTCACCTTTCAATAAAAGAAAGGGATAGCATCAATAGACTTTAAAGTCTGTCTCTGGTCTCTTTCCCTTTATCTATTCTTTAAGCTATCCCCAAAGCTTGAATTCTAGAAATACTGCTTTAGTTCGCTCCAGAAGATTCCTGGATGCAACATTGGAGGCAAGGGTACAATGAAGTTTTATCTATAAGATGCTCATCAGGGCTTCCCTGGTGGTGCAGTGGTTGAGAGTCCGCCTGCTGATGCGGGGGACATGGGTTCGTGCCCCGGTCCGGGAAGATCCCACATGCTGCAGAGCAGCTGGGCCCGTGAGCCATGGCCGCTGAGCCTGTGCGTCCGGAGCCTGTGCTCCGCAACGGGAGAGGCCACAACAGTGAGAGACCCACGTACTGCAAAAAAAAAAAAAAAAAAAAAGATGCTCATCAAATGCTTTGGAACCTGTCAACCAGAGTTGCATTGCTTCTCAATTTTCACACGATTTCTAGACACAAAAGTCCCTTTACAATCCGTCTGGGTTGTCACTTCAAAGAGAACGATGTATGTGGTGGGTGAAGGGATGCAGGAATTAGCAGGATAGAGTACCAGGTTAAAAAACAAAGAGCCTGTGTATTCGAGGCATCTGTAGATGACATCAACTAGACAACTTTGTGCATACAGTCGTTTGCTTTAGAAGTCCTTTGAGGACAGAGAATGTGTCTGCTAACTCAAATGTTTAGTGCTCAACTCAGTATCCTGTACATAAGAGGATCTTTGTGAAGGTGTCTTGACTATGATGATCACACAGGTCGAAGAGAAAAAAATAAAACTCAAAGCCATAAATCTTTGAGTCCCTTAGTTTGGGTGATCTGTACTGATGTGACCATAGACAAGGGCATTTATCTTCTTTTCCTTCTGTTATTTAATCACCTAGTGGTGTTTCCAGATAAGAAACGTAAGTGGCACTCATTACCTAACTGGAGCATGTGCAGCACAGTTATCATAGGGTATCAATACTCAAACAGCTGTTTTGTGTAATGAATTCAGCTATTCATAGATGAGTTACTATTGTGAAGAATTGTGCTCCACGGAACTGCAGGGACTTCTTAAATGTTGTCAACATTTGGAGGCAATTGGAAGAGGGAACACTAGTGACAAATGGCTAAATAGTCAGAATTTCAGTGTATGCTGGGAAGATAATTCAAGTCAACCTCTAGTTGATCCGGAGAATTTTGGGGCTTCCCTGGTGGCGCAGTGGTTGAGAGTCCGCCTGCCGATGCAGGGGACACGGGTTCGTGCCCCGGTCCGGGAAGATCCCATATGCCGCGGAGCGGCTGGGCCTGTGAGCCATGGCCGCTGAGCCTGCGCGTCCGGAGCCTGTGCTCCGCAACGGGAGAGGCCACAACAGTGAGAGGCCCGCATACCGCAAAAAAAAAGAAAAAAAAGAATTTTGGAGTTACTGGCAATGAGGAAAACTATAGAGTCTGCTTGAAAATATCCTTAGGAGTGAAGGAGTTAACTGAGTGTTTAAGCTTTATCTCATGTCCAATGGTCTTGTGGTTTGCCGATTAAAGTCTCCAATCAATAATTGTTAGGGACCTGTCATTGATAGCTGTTGCTAGTTGCTGTGTTTCAAAAGCCCATTGATTCCTCTGCAAGGTGATACAGCATCCTCTATCCCTTTCCTCATTTCAGACCTACTCAGGTCTGCCTGCAAAAGGATCCACCAAATCAACAAGCATGAATGATGAAGACGGCAGCACCATCTATGACAGAATCCAAAAAGAGAGGGCATATGAGGATTCAGACCAGCCAGCAGAAGACAAAGGTCCCCTTTACAATGATGTCCATGAAGACTTGAAGGCAGAAGCCAATTTATATGCCACTGAGTTGGAAACCCATGGGTACGGCTCTGCGGCCATTTATGCTGTTGTTGGTCAGGAGAGCACCTCAGCCTCTTTTCAACGAGAAACAGGAGAATACCTCCTGCCTGAAAAAGTATACCCTGAGGCTCAGCATCCTCAACCTGGGGAGCCCCAGGAGAATGGAAGTGAGATGGAAGCAGATCCGACTTCTCCTTCCAGCTTCACCATCCAGCACAGCAGAGCCTTCTCCACCAGCGAGGACTCCCCTACCAGCTATTCTGCTGATGATGTTTCAGAAGAAAATGAATCAGCTTCCACTAACCCTGAGGTTAACCTCTTTGTGAAGGTAAGGGCTGCCTCTGACAGACGCACATGCAGATGGTGTTTTATTTTGCTCTGAGTGACCAGGGAAAGATGCATGGTGTCATGGTCCTTGGGGGTCAATATATATTAAAGAGTAGGGCTGATGGAATGCGTTGTTCCATAGATCACCCAGGACCGCTCAAAATTACAAGAATTGGTAAGTGCGTTTAAAAGTGTGTGTCTAATCATTGACTTCTCTATACCACAGGCAAAGCATTTTTTAAGAGTTCACTTATGAGGGAGCAGAAATTGTTGCTCAGATCCTTTCCTTTGTGACAGACATTAAGTGCATTTTCCTGTCTGGTTAAATTTCTTTCATCGTCATCATTTTGAAAAACGAAACTAAGGCTTGTTGAAGTCAAATCAATGGTCCTTCTTAACGTTTCTAAGGTCACAGATAGTACTTCGTATGTACGGTCAATAAATGTTACGTCTGTCACCGAGCTTGCCCTTTTGGCGCCAATATAACTAAAATATCTGATGAGATAAAATGCTTTCTCTAGTAGTAATACACTTAGTGTCAGTGTTAATGTTTAGCCCTTAGTATACTCAAACAAAGAACTTTGGTGATCTTTGTATTAGACTGATATTCTAGTAAAGATTATGGTTATGAATATTATCAAAACATAAAAATCATTTCAGGGCTAAACAAATCATCTTTATAGATCAAGATGATGTTTTCCCCCACATTCCCCACCCAAATTCATATTTACACAAATTTTTATGTGAAGACAACAAAAATGATTACTCTATGAACCTATAAAAACCCCAGTCAACACTCATTTCTCCCCTTTCCGGTTTCGAATTAACTCCTTTAATGAAATGCACTTTCTTTTCTAATTTAATACATCATTATTTTCTATTTTTCTCTACCTGTTTGGTGTATAAATCGTCTCCTTTATTCTACCACAAGGTCCATTTCAAAAGCACCGAGAGCGTTTGGTTCATATTTAGGTACCTGGCAAACCTTGCCTGGGATTTTGTTGAGCATTTGGGAGAAAGAAGCGTGTGTAGACAGAGCCCTTGCTCTCAAGAAATAACAATGTGGTACAGGAGACAGACTTGCAAGTTGTGAATTTTAGTGAAATGGAGGAGTGAGAGAGCGTTGTGCCGTGGGTATTCTGGGAATGCCCAAGGGTGGACGAAGGAGTAAGGAAAGGCTCCACAGAGGAGCCTTTCAAGCAGCATTCCAGCCATTACATTCACACGACCGTTGTGTTAGTTTCAAAAAAAGTCACCTTTTTAAAAGTGAGGACTAGGTGTATTTTCCTCAAGACAGAGGCATCCCTGCAACTTCCTGCAAGAGATGAGATGAATCAATCATCATCGTCATGATCATCATCGTCATTATGGGCACATCAAACCATTATTTGCATGTTTGGCAAAGTGTTGATTTCATCAGAAATTAGGCTGAACCAAACAGAAGTAGGAGGAAATAGAAGTGTTGGCATCTCTAGCTGGTACCAGCAACAGGAAAAACTACTTGATAGTGTCATGTGGTTCCTAAGTTATTTAAAATCCGTGGTTCCCTAAAGTAAATATTGGATCTAATTAACTCTTTACGTTTACATTCTTTTTAGTATAATTTTGTTAACTAAGTGGACGTAGAATGTACCATCAACCTCAGCTCCTATGTGTGGACTTCTTTTTAGAGATTCTCAGCATCACTCAGTGAGAAGAAGGGCAGTCATAATCCTGGCTTCTCCACCCCCCAGCCCACCTCCACTGCGGTCCTTTATTCAATGAGGAGGGAAATGAGTAATATGAAAACAGATGATACAGGGCTGCAGGGCTTGCGTGGGAGTGGAGGGCGTGTGTGTGACCAGCCCAGGCTCCTCCCTCCTCCCAGCTCTGCAGAGGGGCTGCTGGAACCCCTGCGTTGGACGGGGATCACCATCTTCCTAGCGGGCTTGTTGCTGGTGTTCTGGGGTTGTTCTCCTCCTGGGCTGTTTTGGTGTAGACCACTTGGGCTGCAGGTACACCTGTACTCATTTGTGTATGTTTCCACCTGTCTGGACAAGTCAGAGAAAATGTCATGCAGGTTAATAACTGTGTTCAACCAACTTTTCATTGAGGCTCGGCCATTTCAGGGTGTTGACCTGTTACTTAGTTAAAATATGTCATTTATTTATTCATTCAACAGAGAGTTATTGCGCCAGGTTCTGGGTGTACAACAATGAAGAAAACAAAGGCCTGGCTCCCCAGCACTTTGCGTCGTAGTGGGAGAGACAACAGATGGACAAATAGAGAAGTAAATATAAAATATGCCGAGTGGTGATAGTGCCATAAAGAAACATAAAACAAAACAACGGGTGTGTTAATTTCCTACTGCTGCCCTAACAAATTACTACAAACATAGTGGCTCCAAACCACATAAATTTATTCTCCTACCTTCTGGAGATCAATTGGAAATGAGTCTTAAAGGGCTAAAACAAGGAGTCAGCAGAGCTGTGCTCCTTCCGGAGGCTCCAGGCGAGAATTTGTTTCCTCCATTCTTCTAGCGATGGTCCTCATTCTTGACTCCTGGCCCATGTCACATCTCCCTTTCTCTCTGGCTTCCAGCTTCACCTTTTTTTTGGCCACACCATGCAGCATGCAGGCTCTTAGTTCCCCGACCAGAGATCGAACTCGTGCCCCCTTTAGTGGAAGCGCAGAGTCTTAACCACTGGGCCTCCAGGGAAGCCCCCAGCTTCCCCTTGCCTTCCAATCTGACTCCTTCTGCATCCCTCTTATAAGGAAACTTGTGATTAGTTTGGGCCCGCAGGATAATCCAGGTTAATCTCCTCATTTCAAGATCCTTAATTTAATCACTTCTGCAAAGTCCCTTTGGCTTCAAAGTTTCTGGGAATTAAAGCATGGGCCTATTTGGGAGCCATTGTTCAGCTTCCCACAGTGGGACGAGAATGATGCTGAGTAGGGGTGGGAGGAGTAGGGGTAGCCGGGGCATGGGGGCGGGGGAGATAAGAGAGGTGGAGGTGGGCACAGGTCACGCCTAGGCCTGATGAGCCGTTGACAGAGCTTCCACTTTTTTGTGTGTGTGTGCGGTACGCGGACCTTTCACTGTCGTGGCCTCTCCCGTAGCGGAGCACAGGCTCCGGACGCGCAGGCTCAGCGGCCATGGCTCACGGGCCCAGCCGCTCCGCGGCATGTTGGATCCTCCCGGACCGGGGCACGAACCCGCGTCCCCTGCATCGGCAGGCGGACTCTCAACCACTGCGCCACCAGGGAAGCCCAGAGCTTCCACTTTTACTCTGAGCGATAAGGGGAGTCATCAGAGGGTTTTGGAAGGAAAATTCCGGCTGCCTTTTTAATGATAGACTACAGCAGAGAAAGGGTAGAGGCAGGGAGGACAGGTTGGAGGCCCTTGAAAAACTAGGCAGGGGAGGACGATGGATTGGACGATGGTGACAACAGTGGAGCTGGTGCCAAGTAGATTGGGATTGTTGGGAAGAGAGAGCCCAGAGGTTTTGCTGGTGGGTCTGATGTGTAGTATAAGGAAGGGAAGGAGCTAAGTTTGACTCTAGGGGTTTAGACAAGAGCTACTGAGTAATTGGAGATGTTATTCTCACTTCACCTGTGGACCTCTTCTCTAGGAACATATGATCCAGAAAATGTGTTCACAGTCATTCATATATCCATCCCTCCCTCCCTCCCTCCCTCCCTTCCTTCCTTCCTTCCTTCCTTCTTTCCAGCATTTACAAGATACTTACTACGTGCCACATACTGGATGTAAGAGATGAATGCAGCACAACCCAAGTGCACTGTCCTGTGGGCAAAGACAGAGAAACACAATTCTTGAAAATAATAAGAGGAAAGAAATAACTGCTTCTTGGTCATTGGCTGAGATCCAGTGAAGGAAAAGTCTCTAGTGAGAGCTGCAATTCATGTCGTAAGGCAACCAAGAGGAGTTGTGAGTTCAGAATTTGCTGATAGGATTATAAGAATTTCTTGCTGCTTTCTGCTAAAGTTGAAGGACCTGTAGACATTTTCCTAATTGTGTGTGTGTGTGTGTGTGTGTGTGTGTGTGTGTGTGTGTGTATGGAAGAGAAAGAAAGAGAGGGACGAGAGGGACAGAGACTGAGGGAGGAAAGGAGATAGAGATATAGAGGGAGATAAGAGAGATAAGAGATAGAGAGGGAGAGAGAGAGAGAAAAAATATTCTGGTATTTAACACAAAGGAAAAAAAGTAATCTGACGATGACAGTTGCAAAGAAAAATGGTACAGATGAACACCATTTGTCCTGCACATAATTGACGTCATTGATTATGGAAGGCAGTATATATATGTATGCTGTAGAGCACGTTTTCAAGTCAGGTTGCATGGTTTGAATCCTGGCTTAGCACATTAATTTCTGTTAAATTGTTTACCACTTTTCTCATTGGTAAAATGGATGTCATAATGATACGTTCCTCATAGGGTGGTTATGAAGATTGAATAAGAGAATCCATGTAAATTGCTTAGTATAGCATCTGACGTATAGTAAATGCTCAATATTTAAGAGGCTAAATTATTATTGTTTGTTGTGATGAATTTGAATCATCCATAAAATAACAATTTTTATTTTAGGCACTGTGCCTTATAGTTAGTAGACATTATAAATGTTCTGTTAGCTGATATTAATGTGACGGTGTAATATTGTGGAAAGAGCACCGGTCAGGAAATTCTAACACGACTTTGTCAATGATTCACTATGAAACATTCTTGGACCCAAGTTTCCTCATCTCTGAAGTGCAGTCCATTCCAGCTCTTACAGTCTTTGACCAGGGTATGTGGCTCCAGCTCTGTATCAGTGTCACGTGTCTGGCACCATCTATTGTCCACTTGAGCAGACCACTTGATAGTGATTAGGGTTTCTAGATTTGGGTGTGGTAGGGAGGGCCAGCAGGAAATCAACACGCCTTTCCACCCTCAGCTCACGTGAAGCCTGTCCCTTGGAAGGCATCCTCAGGGGCTGTCTCTGATTAGGCACTCACAGAGTCCCC